AACGGCACTTAACAACAACAACAACAACAACATATATACAATTAAGTGCCCAAGTGGGTAAGGAGTTATGCTGACAATTTAAAGGGACTCAGTTTGAATCTACCAGCTATTCTGTGGGAGAAAGATGGGCAACCTCATTCCATGAAATGTATATCTTCTTAAAAATCCGCTGGAGGGTCAACTGTGAGTCAGTTCTGACTCAGGAGCACAAGCAATAATACAAACTTTAACTTTTAAAAATTGTATTTTTATATATCCATTACAAATTTATAATATCTATTTGTGAACTGACCCTGGTTTAATCATACCTCTCTTTGTGTTTAAAGATTTCTTTCCAAATTTTTGCTATCATAACAGACACCTTTTGTATTAGAGGTATTAATCATACTTCACAGCATATATATAGAATTTATAATTTTGTTCAGAAGGCTGCTTGAGTTATAGTTGACTTGATGGTATACAACATCAATCATCTACAACCCTGATTGTTTCCTCGTATGTGTTTAGAAATACAAACAATAGAGCAAAAGACCGTCAAAGTCTCCAGTATATACTGATTGTCTATTATTTTGAATGTTTTAAAGGAAATACACATATTCAGGCTTCTTTGGGTGTTTTGTGCAGGATATGGCGAGGTTTCAATCTGTTGTACATAGTCAACTCAACAGCACCTAACAACTATATATAAAAGAATGAGTAAAGGTGATCAAAGGGAGCTCTGGTGATGCAGTCTTTAGCGAGTTACACCACTAATCAAATGGTTATGCATCTCTGATTGTGTGAATCGACCAGGTTCGAACTATGAGTAGTCTCTTACCTTTGCAAAGGTGGCCCAATGGATTACCGTTATTTGATTGAGTTAAAACGTACTCTACCTCTACTACTGTGAGGGAGCATGAAGGCATAGTGGTAAGAAATTGTGCTGTGGAATCAAAAATCATGTGGTTTGAATCCCTCAGCTGCTCTGTGGTAAAATGGGCAGTTTCCTCTCATGCAATGTAAAACCTCTAAAAGAGCATTGACAGTACACCACCACCACCACAGTGAAGTGATTTTTCCAGGAACATAGTAATTGGATGAGTGAGCTCAAGAGGGCGCATGAATACCATAGGTGACGGTATGAAACTAAGACTAGAGAGGCAAAGTGCTGCCAATACAGTAAGGGGTGATAGTGAGACACTAAGGTGCACTTGATTCAGGCCATGGCCTTTTCAATCACTTGTTATGCATCTGAGAACTGCACAGTATTAAGGATAATAGAAGAAGAACTGATGTCTTCTAGTTATGCTGTGAGAGAAGAGTACCGAATGGATTCTGATGGTCAGAAGAAAAAACAGTTATGTCCTGGAGAAAGTGCTGCCAGGATGCTCCTTGGAGGCAAGGATGGCAAAAGTTCGTCTTATGTATGTGGGTCATGTTGTTAGGAGGGGCTATTCATTGTAAAGGGACATCATACTTGGAAAGGTGGAGTCAGCAAAAGAGAAGAAGGCCCTCAATGAGATAGATTGACACAGTTACTGCAGCAATGGGCTTGAGTGTGTCACACAAAATGAGAATGGCACAAGATAGGGCAGGATTCAGATCTGTTGTTCATAGAGTCGCTAAGAATTGTACATCACAGCACCTAAACAACAACAGAGGCAAGGTGATGTGATATGATATGATATGAGTATAGTAACAGACAAAAGTGAGATGTTATGGTAAGTGTATTCAATTTTTTAAATCTCTTCTGTCTTAAAATAGTGAAAATGTAAAAACTTTTTGATAATTTATCTACAAAATAACACCACCACCACACAGGAATGTATTCCTATAAGATCTAAGTCATAAACACTAGAATTATAATACAGTGAAGGGTATATCAAACAGGTTATTGATTGTTGCTGTGCTGTGAGTGGGAGCTGACCCCTCTATCAGGTTTTCAGACACACTTAACTGGACAGGAGACTGACTGCTTATATGCCTCCTGAGCAGTTCGTGGACTGGAACCACATGCTTCTGCACTACAGTCCAGTTTCTTACCACCTGGTGACCAGAATTACCCCAATTTAATTAAATGAGTGAAAAGCATAAATTACATATAATTTTATGGAGAGTAATAGCTACTCATTTTGACTCATTTATCAACTAGAATACTTCATTAATTTCTCTTCACAGAAATAAAACGGGCAACAATTTCTAGTTAGTTATAACAACTAAAAAATGGTTGTAATTTTTAAAAAGATATAACAATTTAAAAAACTTAATAGACGTATAATGCACATACGTGGTGTTGGCTTATAAGTTGGCTTTTTAAAGCCATTAGTCCCCTCTGGTCTCCAGCTACCTTAACTGCAAACACATGGTCTTACAAATCAGCATAGTATTGTAAATGAGCATCAGCTGTGAGAAAGAGTGCTTCCCACACTGAGCTGGAAGACTTGGCGTGAGCAAGGCTGTGGGAGCAAGACCCTGCTGAGAGCAAGAACCTGGTGGTGGAGAGACTGTGGCAAGATGTGACCTAAGGCTTCTTGCATTTGTGCTGGCCACAGTTAAAGGTTTTACTGTTCTTGCCAATGCTTGGAGGAAGATCAGACTTACAACTACTCTGAGACAAACCTTGCTTGATGATGTAGATTTGACAGTTGAACTGAAATTGGAGCCTGGACTAATTGAGAAATTGTACATTAGAACTGTTGGGCTAAAAGCTGGATGTATATTGATAGTCTTTGCCTCCCCACTCTCTAACTTCCTTCCCTAATAAACCCCACTGCTGGTATCATAACTGTGTCTTGTGAATTAGCAACGAATACATGAACCTCTTGCTGTTGGTGTGGCTCTAGAGTACCATGAGCTATTCATCTTAGTATTAGGAGACTGACCTTCCTTCTCCCTAGAAGCACCTGGACTCAAACTGTGTGACCTCGTCTTTGGCTTGCTGTTCTTGTTGCTGTTATATGACATTTAGTTAGAATAGAATCACAGCTGACCCCCCAGCAGGTTTCAGAGGCAGCAAACTGTATGGAAGATTGCCCACTTTTCTCCTTTGGAGCAGCTGGTAGATTTGAATAACCTGCCTGTGGGTTAGCAGTGCAGTTCCTTACCACTAGGCCACTGGAGCTCCCTTGCCTTTTGGTTGGGACTGCAAAACCCTAGTGACTGTGCCATCAGAGCACCACCAGAAGAATGTACAGCTTGATGATTTTCTTCACAAACTCAGCATATTCATAGCACCCAGCTCAAAAAAACAGAGCATTACTAGCTTTTTATGGCAATTCTCAGTCACTAACCACTACAAGAGCATCCACTATCGTATTCTATAAACAAAGATTACTTCTATATGTTTACAATGTACATACAGTATGTATTCTTGTGTCTGTTATCTTTTTCTTCAACATCATGATTGCTGAAGTATAACATACAAAGCAAAAAAGATATCCTCAAAAACCCACTGTCAATTATATAGCTATAGTTCATTTATTCTTACTGCTGTGCAGTATTTCATTAGCAAACAGAATCAATACTATATTATTTCCAAGCTTACTATAAGGTTAAAATAATGTAGAAATAAATGAAGCTTAAAATGATTAAGCTTCATATGGCATAGGTTGAAATGACATGAATGATTAAGCTTCATTTGGAATGAGTTGGAATGAAAAAAGCCAGACGTAACACAGTGCACATAATTCCATTTATAAGAAATGTAAAAAAATCTAGGGGGGGCGGGGAAACAACACAACAACAAACACAACCAAAGTATCAGCCTTTGGCTAGGGGTGGGTATTCACTGGTAAGATAATAGCAATAAAAATATTCAACATCTTATTGTGGAGGTTGCTAAAATGGTATATACACTGATCAAAATTCATTCATATTATACTATTAAAGTGAATAGACTTTACTGTATGTAAATTATACTTTAATAAAGATAATTTCAAAATTGTTAACATGAGGTCTGTTTGATTAAATGTGTTTTTATTTGTAATGGTAGATTTATTTCTTTATCTAATAGATATCTTTTATATTTTAAAAAATATTTTGTAACATTTAGTATAGTATGGAATACAAGAGTTAGGTAATATACTTTGCAAAGATATAAATTTGTGTGATTGAAAAAAACAGAGCCAAAGGGGAACTAAAGAGCTGAATAGTGCGTTCATTGTTTTATCCCTGGCCTCAAACACCACATGTCTGAGGAGGCCCATTTCTCTTTAATATCAGAATGGGAGAGTCAAAATATAAAAAAACACTGCAAGTCTAAATTTATATGCCAACATTTAAGTTTGCCAGAATCAGATGTACAATGAAAGGGGGCTGGAAGGAAGAGTGAAGACAGAGTTAGCTTTAAGTTAGAGAAACATCTCAGAAGAAATGAGGATTAATTTATTACTAGTCATTAAAAATATGCAAAATATTATGTTGGCAGAAATGAGAGGACAATAAAAGGAAATCTTAAGCATATAAGGAATAGCATTGTTACCATTCATTGATGTATACATAAGCACTGCTTCATTTAAATCATAGGAAGATTAAAGGAGCCCTGGTAAGGAGCTGTGCTACCAACTCAAAGGCATGTGGTTCAAATTCACCGACTGCTCTGCGAGAGGAAAATGGGCAGTCTCCTCCTCTGTGATTTACTGCCTCTGAAAAACTGCCGGAGGGTCAACTATGGGACAGTTCCAATTTGACAGTATATAACAACACCAACAGTGGCATAGTGGGTTAAATGCTGGGCTGCTAACTGAAAGGTTGGTGGTTCAACCCCACTGGCTACTCTGTGGGATATTAAGTAATGCAGGGTGGGTTGAATTTATTCAGAAAGATTTAGCTTTGTTAATTTTTTTAAACACACAGTAATAAAGAGCTAGCATTCTAAACTGACTGTTCTTTCAGTGGCAGGACAAATAATATTCTCTAAATTATCCAGTTTAGAAATATACAAAAATTTGGTTTTTAGCAAAAATAACCACGAGCATGTATTAATTATATCTGAGCAAGAAGTAACACAATTTTCAGCCTACCTGAAATCACAGGCTGTAGTAAATTCTGCTCCTCCACCTAATGCCCGTCCTTGAACCAGTGCAACACTCACTAATGGCAGTCTGAATATGTATGGGGGAGGAAAAATGGAAAAAGAATGGGTGTTAAGAGTTTTCATTTCAACTTGCATGTTATAAAAGAATTTAAGTTGCAATGAAAAGTGAAATTATTGCACTGGGTTTATAACAAACACAAGTCAGAGATCATTGGAACTAGAGACTGCACCATGAAGAAAACCAAGCACTGCTGAAGAGATAATAAACCATATTAAATGCTATGTAAATTTATCAAACTATCTCCCTGAATCAATGCATATTTGTTTTAACTACAGCCATGATGTCATCTTCTTCTGAATAAATCGGAGTTTTTTTAATATATGGCAGCTCCTGGAACTTTCCAGCAGCTGTCTATCAATAATATAATTCTATGTTACATTTTCTTAGTCCATTATATTGATTGTGAGGTGAAGGTGGGAAAACTAGGACTATTCAAAGAAAGGAAATGTAATACAGAAGAATGAATTACAGAACTGTCTTTCTGAAGGATCCTATTAAAAATGTTTTCATTATTCCCTGAGGTGATCTTCAGACTAATAAAAAGAATGGTTCGGTGGTAAATCATAGAAAATCAGTTATTAGAGACCTGGTGGATTAGCAGGTAAAGAGTTGCACTGCCAATTCAAAGGCAAGTGGTTTGAATCCACCAGCAGTTTACGAGAGAAAGATGAACAATCCCCTTGCATGCAATTTATGACCTCTAAAAACCTGGAGAAGAGTCAGTGATGAGTTGGTTCAGACTCAAAAGCAATAAACAATGAATAATAATGTAAAAGTAAATGTCTTAAGTTTCCTTTTTGTAAAGGCCTCTCTTTCGGGCATGTGTATTATTAAAATGTAAACTTAAAATATCTTAGAAATAAGATTATTTTTGTGAGTGGAAACAAAAATGCAAAGCTGCAGGTCTAAAGTAATTGAAAATTCCCTAACACATACTGATTGGAAAATCAGTTATTAATTTTTAACTAGTGCAAATAATGGAATAATGAGTTATTTTTGGTCTTTAAAAGGTCATATTATAAAAACAGATACATTACCTCATGAATCTTGTTAAGGTGTTTTGCATGTACATACATAATGCTACTCCATCCTTTAAAAACAAGCATAAACACAAAAGTAAAATGCTAATTAAAATACTTTCAAGATTTAGAGTGATGAAACAAAAATACACACCTAACTTTTTAATATGAGGCTTCTATTCAAAACTCTTTGAAGCTGTCTGAATGCACATGGTGCTAGTTTGGTCTTCCCAGAGCTCATTCTGCACAGGTATTACAGCTATTAGATAGATCCGATTAGATCAAATGTCCCATACTATTTGGCTTGTAAGTTAAGAGTGTATGAGAGGAAAGGTATAGGAACTATCTTTGACTAAATCTAGTAATAAATGTTGGAGAGGATGTGGTGAGCTAGGAACTCTTATACAATGCTGGTGAGATTGAACAATGGTACAATCACTCTGGAAGTCAGTTGGCACTTCCTCAAAAAGCTGACCACAGAAATTCCATATGACCCAGCTAGTCTACTGCTTGGAATGTACGCCAAGAAAATGAGAACTGAGGCACAAATGGAGATCTGTACACCAATGTTCACAGCAGCATTATTCACCATCACAAGAACATGAAAACAGCCCCTATTGTCCAACCACAATCGAATGGACTGAGAAGTATGGTACATTCATACAATGGAATAGTATGCAGCACACAGGAGCAATGATTTTGTAAATTATTATCTAAATTGGGAGGGACTGGAAAGCATTTTGCTGAGTGAATAAACTCTGTCCACAAAGATAACTATTATATAAAACCATTATTGTAGAATGAGTATGAAGATCCAAAGGGGGGGGGGAATGGGAGGGTGGAAGCAGAGGGATGAGGATGTGGGGAGGGGGTGGCATTAATCATGGAGTTGTACAATTTGATGGGGGGATGAGGGAAATTGGAAGAATCTGGTCTGAAAAACAATGCATTAGAATTTTGTAAATAAACTAGCATGAAATTTAAAATAAGACTGTAATCCTTTAACAATATAAACATTTTTTAATAGGACAGGAAGATGAGAAATGATGAGAGATGTTAAATTTTGATTTTTTGTATGTTTGAGGCTTTTATCTTAGGTGCACAAATCTCTCAACTCCCTAACCAATATCTTAAAAGCAGCTTAACTGACTTTTCTTCACCTCATATACTTTTTTCCACCCAGTGTCATGTAGTTTTCTTTTTTATTATTGTCTGATACTAACTCTATGCTATAAGCAGCACAGGAGTCAGTTTCAATTACTTTCCTTTTATGACCACCTAGACTAGTGTTAGGATCTGATGGGAAAGGGATCTGGAGGTTTGTCATGTAGTTTTCAACCCTTTCCCAAAACCCTCAGGGGTTACTAATAGCCCATCAGATTAAATAAATACCTTTTATTTATTCCCATCTTCCCTGATCTAACTGTGGTACATTTCTTTAGCTGATTTTTTCAATGTTAGGTTTTTGTCTTCTCGGATTCTACTGACTTATCTCTCTTGATTCTCTTCATCTTTCTTTGATTATCCTTTTCCAATTTTCTTCCTTGTATCATTTTATTCATCTAATCCTCTAAATCCATAAGCTGCTCTGTGGAAGAAGGTTCGGTAATCTCCTCTTGTTTGATTAACAGCCTCTGAAAACCTGCCAGTGGGTCAGCTATGGGTTGGTTCTGGCTCAAAGGTATACAACAACAACAACAAATCCTCTAAATAGGGAATTCTGGTGGTGAAGTGATGAAGCAGTTGTGCTGCCAACCCAAAGGCCGGCAGTTCGAATCCACCACCTGATCCAAGAGAGAAGAAAGGGCAACTCCTCCCTTGTGATCTGCATCCCCTGAAAACACAATGGAGGGTCAGCTACAAGAGTCAACAATCCTCTCAATAGGAAGTTGTGGTGGTGCAGTTTGTAGGAGGCTGCACTGCAAAGCAAAAGGCCTCTCTGATGGTGTGAATCTACCTATAGCCCCTTGAGTGAAAGACAGGCAACCTCCTGTTCAATCAATAGCCTCAGAAACCCAATGGAAGATGAGCTCTGAGTGAGTTCCATTGATCATTACAGACTATACTTAGGAACTTCCCATATACAGTCTCTGTTGTTGTTAAGTACTGTCAAGTCAGAGCCAACCCATAGCTGACCTTCAGTAGGTTTTCAGAGACAGTAAATGGCACAGGAGAAGACTGCCCATCTGCCTCCTACAGAGCAGGTGGTGGATTCAAACCATGTGCCTTCAGGTTGGGAACACAGCTCATTAATACTAAGCCACTACAACTCCCCATACTGTTTCTAGTTACTAAGATCATCATGTCTTAAATAGATCATACATGATAGATATTGCTGTTTTATATTGTCCATGTTATGAAGTTATTTGTAACATCAAAATGTATGTTAAAATCCTGCCCCCAATTGTATGGCAAAAATGTTTCTTTGTTATGTTAATCAGTTTAAAGTGTGTCCTAAATCTAACTGGACAACAATTACTTACTAGTATATTCCTTATATTTATATAAGCAAAGCAACACCTTTTTCAGTAATAGATAACTGATAAACGTGTAGACTCTAATGCCTATTCCATGCAGCACTTGCCTCTGGAGTTCCCAGTGCTTTCACAGCATTCAGATCAGATCCTGAGGAGAAAGTATTGTTTGCCCCTCGCACAATAACTCCTTTCCCCTCTGTCCAATTTTCCAATTCAATGACTTTTTCTAGAAGTTGGAGCATCATAACACCTGCCAAAGGCAACAAGAGACATTACAAACATTACAAACACATGTAAGATAAAAGCAGAAATAATTCAGAAATGGTAATATGCAAAGCAAGCCACTAAAGGGATATACTTTATAAATTATCTACTAAATATCTCTCAAATCTATTGTGCTGGTAATTTGGAATATACAAAAGAGGTATAAATGTGTATGACAGTCCCTTCTTTTAACCAGTCTCCAATTTGTTCGTTGTATCTGTCTATCCATTTTGGTTAAGAAATCATACAAATATAATTACCTAGAACAATTAAAAGAATGTATCATACATATCTCTTAGGAAAAGAAAACAAAGTGGTACCAAGAAAACAAACAAACAAACAAACAAAACCATTAGATTAAAGATAAAAGACGGAGACGACATTCACAGTAGTACATTTGAAAGATGTTATATATGTTTTCAACAAGCTTATCAAGAGTTAGGACTAAAACATATGACCATAAGATCTTATGATATATTAATGCATTGACAGTTTACAGAAAAAAAGGTGAAAATCCTACCCTACTTACTTATTGGTAGCATAATAATAGGATGTTATTTAAAAAAACAACAACACAGAAAATATGATCTTGTTCCAAAGCTGACAAAATGCTGTGAGGAGCCCAAGGTACATTGTACAACAGCTTCAGAGACTAATAATAGAGTGCCTGTCAGCCATCAAGTCTATGAGTTCTTGATCAGACTATCAGTTTTATGTAATTCTGAAATTCTGCTGGAGAGTTGTTTATCACAGACAAATTTAAACTGGAAACAATAACGCTGTCATCTTAAGATCTTTTAAGTAGTAACTTTTGGGTATGTTTATTTTTTTATGATTTTCCTTAACAGGAGTGATTTCATGTTCCTCATTCTACGAAAGTGCTTCAGAAGCTTAATAAAAATCTTAGTAGGGGTTAGAAATGGCAAAGAATTTGTTTTTACAAGGTCCCAGCAGTAATTATGTACCCTTCTTCAGAATATAAACCCCAAATGCCAAAAACTAGTCTTTGCCATTTTCTGAAGTAAATAGCAGTGTTGTATTCACAATAAATGATAAGTTGCCAACTCACAAATGACTAATGCAGCGATCCTTTCTAATTTTTAATTATGACTTAGCTAAAACAGTAATGGTTTCCAAAAATATCCTAAGTGTGTGTTTTAGAGCCGATTTCTTGTGCTCTCAAAGAATTTACAATCTAGCAAGAGAAACAAAACAAAACAAAAAATACACACTGAGAAAAGAATAAATCTGGATGGGTAAATACGGAGCTCCAATCATGCATAATACTTAAGCTTCTAAAACATGTTGGACTTGAGTATGAAAAATTTATAATTATTACTTAATCTTTTTGCTATTTTAAAATAAAATTTAAGAATCAGAAGAAACCTTTAAAAGTTGAGTGACTTTCAAAAAAAGACCCTTGGGGTAGGATACTGCCTCACTCCTCATTGTCCTAATTCAACCCAACCCAACCCAACCCTACTATTCAAGTCAAAAGAGTCATGCTTTCATGTTATGCATCAAATATTGTAAATATGCAATATAATATTATTTGTTTCTTTTATTCGAAAAAATAAAAACTCAAACCCACTGCCACTGAGCTGATTCTGTCTCATAGGCCTGGGAGAATAGGGCTATTCCATATGGTTTGTGATATAGAACCCTCCACAAAGACAAAGTTCTATATCCTCCTTTAGTGAATAGTGATGGGATCTTAAAAGCTTGCGAGCAATCAGCTAAGCTTTTGGTTGTCTCACTGTATGAAAAAAAAAAAAGGAAGAAAAGTAAATATACACAGATACATTTAGTGCAAAGGACTAATGAACTATCTGTTCAGGTTTGTCTACATTCCTGAAACCAGAAGAACTATAGAGTGACCATCTACTACCACTGACCACTCTGAAAGGGATCACAATAGAAGATTCTGGAGAGAATGAGGGGAAATGTGGCACAAAAAATTAAAAGCATAATAAAAAAAGGGGGGATACATTTATTGGTCCAATAGAGATTGGTAAAATCCCAAGACTAAGGCTCGTTGTCACCCTTTAAAGCTAAACAAAAAATCACTGTCATGGCTCAACTTTCAAACAGCAGATAAGCCAGTAATAACTGTTATACGCCTTTGAGTCAACTCAGACTTGGAGATCCTATAAACAACAGATTGGAACCTTGCCTTATTCTGTGTCATCCTCATCATCTATGACATACTTGAGTCTATTATTAAAGTCACAGTATCAGTCCATTTTGTTGAAGGTCTTTCTATAACCACATCACAGGGTCAAAATAGCAGCATTTGTCCAAGGACAAAGCTTTGAAAATAGGAAGGGATTAACAGAAGATTTCAGAAGAACCCTTTAAGAGCTGGATTAATAGAATTTCCAGAAGTTGTGGTATATTCACACAATGGAATACTACGCTGCTTTGAAAAACAAGGAACTCATGAAATATTATACAAAATGGATGACTCTAGAGGACATTATGCTCAGTGAAATATCTCAGTCACAAAAGGACTTCCTAGTGCCACTGTTGAAAAACAGGCCATCGGGGTTGAGGGGAGACTGAGAAAGATGGGATAAATTATGTATACTGCATTGAAACAGATGAGGTAGAGAACTGTTTAAAAAGGGTATATGATTAGGTATTATTGTCATGACAGGAGTCCAGAACGAAGGGTGCATAGTGGAATGGACTTGGGGGCAAGGGATTGTATAACAATGAAATAAATTTTCTTTTACTTTTCAAAGAGAAGAGCGAACTGGGGTGGGGGCAGGTTGGGCAGGGAGTAAAGTGCAATAATGAATGAATGGAAACCCAAAGTCTCTGTAAACTTGCATTAAAATTAGTTTTAAAAAAGGATTAATGAAAATGAGAATTTCAGAGAAGTGGTGGGAGTAAATTGTGGCTATTATAATTAATGCTATGAAACAAAATATTTACAAATGGTTAAAAAATTTACTTTGCTTTTATTCAAATCATAATGGAGGGGATAAAGGTTTATTCATCCTTGGACACTGAATAGGGGGCATCATAAGTCAGAATCACTTCAATCACAATGGGTTTAGTTTGGGTTTAGTATTAAAATTTCTAAACCAACTGAAGGCATTCTGAGACATTGTTGAATGAAGTAGCCACAAACCATACGTAAGCACTAGATACGTAGCTAATCCAAATGGAGATGCACATAAATCATAAAAAACACACTAGATTTCAAAGATACAGTCAGGAAAAAAAAGAAAATTATCTCATAAATAATTCTATAATTATAATATACTGAAGTGCTATTTTGGACATACTGAACCACATAAAACGTTATTAAAATTTCTTTTACCTGTTTGTTGTCACATTTTAAATAAACTACTAGAAAATTTAGGGAGCTCTGGTGGCTTAATGGTAAGGAGTTCTACTACCAATCCCAAGGTGCACAGTTCAAATCCATCAGATGGGCAATCTCCTCCTGTGAAATTTATTGCTTCTGAAAACCAGTTGAAGGTTCAGCTATGAGCCAGTTCTGACTCAACAGTATAGAACAAAAACAACTAGAAAATTTAAAATAATATATGTAGTTTATTTTTGTTCCTTGTGTTATATACACATGACATACCTGCATATCCTAATGGTCAGCTCCAGTTTAGAGCTGGAGAAACTATTTAGAGAAACTGTTCTGAAATTCTACAGAGAAAAGTCATCTTGAATTTAAAAAACCACTGCAGATCATTTAAGTTTACAGTCCATTGAATTGGGTCTGTATTTATGATTAAACATAAAGCAGAAACAGTAATTTACTGAGATGTTTTTTGTAGCCAAATACAACTCATAACTGTAATTACAATACATAAGGCACAGAATTGGTTAAGCAGAGATGAACAAAATCACTCTGAAAGTGCTAGGTATTATACAAAATAATTGCAACATAGTTCAAATTTGCATTTCAAAACACAATTAGAGACACCACAAGACTTGCGCCTTAAAGTCTTTTGAATACACAATTCTTACATTTCAAGAGTCTAGCCTATCAAAGATACGGTTTTCATCATTTCTATGAATTGGGGAAAGGTCAATAAACACATAAAGGCAATGTTTAAATTAACCAATGGAATTATATAATTTACTTTCTTGTTGTTCTTGCTCTACCAAAAATACTACAACTTTCAAGCAGGAACAAAAACACATATAGGCAAATTAAAACAATTCTTTCACTAGCAAAAGGAAGAACTCCAGTACCTGAGAATGCATTCATTTTACTTGGATTGTTCAGAGTAAGAATGCCAATGCCATTTTCTTCCTTCTGAAGGTCAACAGATCCACCAGCAAATTGCTGAAGTTTTTTTTTAACTTCTTCCTCGTGGAAGCCATGAGATGTATTGTAAAGTGACAACCCAGTTTGATGTAACAATTTTGTCCTTGAAGACAAAGATGTCTTCAAAAGACTTGTTGCCATTTCTAGAAAAGAGAAAAAAGCAAGTTTGGATATACAAGAGACATTCACTTTTTATAATATTACACTTTAATGAGCCATACCGCCAGTCCTGTTCAATTGAGAATCCTTCCTCACCTCCAAAGAGCACTCTTTCAGAAGACTACCTCAAATTAATTTCCTTCCTCTCTCATCAAAACAAATAATTTACATAGTTTATCATTTTTAGTATATCACGAATAGATGATGACATAATTACAGTGAATTTTCTGGGATCTCAAACATTACAAAGTCTTAGAAAAATGTTGCTGTCCTTCGTTTAGCACCACCTCCTGCCTCCAACGTAGTCTCTCTCAAGCAGGGCATTTCTTTTTGCCTAACTCTTTAGGTTTGCCAAAATTTAATAATAAATTCAGTTATGTATGTTCCCTTGGACACAGTATTTATGTAGAAATGCTACATGAGAATTCCCACTATGTAAAAGAACTTTATTCTTAGCATTATCCTTACATGCAAATGTATTTTCACAGAAAAGCAAGAGAGGTTCTGGAGAAAATGGGGAAGCAAACAGCAACAGATGAGTCTTCTTTTTTCTTTCTCTGGTTTCTGTTGCTCTTCTCAGTGTATATATTCATCCAGTATCATTTCATCTCCACCCATGTTGTTGTTGTTGTTGTGTGCTGTCCAGTCAACTATGACTCATAGTGACCCTATGAACAATGGCTCTGAACCTTGCCCTATCCTGAACCAACCTGGCCGTCTCTGACACACCTGACCCCACTGTCTTGGTCACTGTGTCAATCCATCTTATTCACAGTTTTCCTCTCCTGCACTGACTCCCTATCTTTCTAACCACGATGTTCTTCTCAAAGGACTGGTCCCTCCTGGTAACATTCCCAGAGCATGTAAGGTGCAGTTTTAAAATTTTGCCTCTACGGAGTAACCTGTTTTCACCTTCTCCAGGACAGATTTGTTTGTCCTCTGGGTAGTCTGTGGTATATTCAATACTCTTCTCCAGCACCGTAACTCAGACATTGATTCTCAGATGCGTAGTAAGCTACTGAAAAGACTATGACCTGGATCAGGTGCACCTTATTCTCTTGACTGATAATGTTGCTCTTTAGCCCTCTTGAGAGGTACTTGACAGCAGATTTTCCCAATGCAACTTGTCTTTGATTTCCTGACTGCTGGTGGAAAGGATATTGGTTGTGGATCTGAGGAAGATGAAATGGTTAACCTCAATCTTTTTCTCCATCTATTCGTAATGCTGCCTATTGGCCCAGTGGTGAGTCCTTGCTCTTCTGCAACAAACACATGATATTGTCATCTGTCCATATGTTTCCTCTCCATAAAAACTTCTTTTGTTGATGCAGAATATACAGTCATAAAAATATGCAAATGGCAAAGTATGGCTCAATACAATTCCACAAGGTGAACACATTCAAGCAAATGAAACTAGATTAAAAATAAAACATTACTTGAACCTCAAAAGGGCCCTTGTAACACTCTAAGGTCACCACATCTCCATTAAAGCTAACAAATAACTTCTAATACCTAATAGAAAGAAGCCTGCCTGCTTTTGATTTTTTAGAAACTGAATAATCCTTTTTAAGTGCCTGGCTTCAATTCTATGTTACAACATCCTTCATTGTCTTAGGTTTAATTATAGTTTTTTTAAAAAAGTCTTTTGTTTTCAATGCTATATTCTGTTTTAAGAATATGACTCTCATGAAGATCGACAGCATTAGAAATTCAATGGAGAGTTGCTAAAAGTCAACATCAACTTGACGACTATGACTTTGTTGTTGTGCACCACTGAGTTGGAACAGACCCATAGCTGACACTCTGGTGGGTTTTCAGAGGCAGTTACTGGCACGGGCAGAGACTGCCCATCCTTCTCCCATGGAGCAGCTGGTGGATTTGAATTGTGTGCTTTCAGGATTGCAGCACACCATGTGACAAGGCCACCAGAGCTCCCTGATGACAATGATTAGTAGTTAGTAAAATGGTAATATACTTGGGCTGTTTCCCCTTTAGGGAATTACAAATACTGCTGCTTTTGTAAACATCACACTATTGTTAGGTGCTATCAAGTCTCCTACAACTTACAGTGAGCCTATGAACCACAAATATGAATCATACCCTATCCTGTGGCTACTATGCTTAATGTAGTTTGTGTCAACTCATCTTGTTGAAGGTCTTCCTCAATTTCTCCACCTTTCCTAGAGTGGTATCTTATTTCAAGGACTAGCAACAATGTCAATCTAGAGACTAAGGTGTGCCTAATCCAGGCCATGGTCTTCACAATTACTTGTTATGCTTCAGAGAGCTGGACAATGACTAAGGATGACAGAATAATCGGTGCCTTCAAGTTCTTGTGCTGGAGAAGAGCCTTGAACATACCATGGACTGCCAAGAAAACAAATAGGTCTATCTTAGAGAGGGTGAAACCAAGTTTCTCCTTGGAGACTAGGATTTTGAAGCTCCAGTTCAGGCTGCTTTGATAAGGCTCCAGTTAACAGATGCTGCCCTGGATGTGCTCACCAAGTTGTGCCAAGAAATCTGGAGAACCACCACTTGGCCAACTGACTGGAAGAGATCTCTATTTGTTCCTACCCCAAAGAAAGGTGACCCAACAGAGTGTGGAAACTACAGAACAATCTCATTGATTTCACATGCAAGCAAGATTTTACTG